GAGCCCACCACCCTGGGGAGCCCACCAGCCCTGGGGAGCCCACCAGCCAGCAGGACCTCACCAGGCAGGTGTTTTGGCATGGCATGGACACAGGTGCTGCTCCGCACACAAGCTCTGCAGGGGAGTGACAGTCCTGCCCTGCATCTCTTGGGGACCTGGGGCCAGCCTGTCTCCCAGACTGGGCACACCCCAAGCCAAAGGCAATGCCCATCTTTTGGTGTGCTACCTCTCTGAGGACATTCACAGCTCTTGCCTCCCGCAGCTTGATTTGCCCTGAGATAGCCCATCTTCCTCTCACCCCTAAATGTGCATTGCCCAGGCTCTGCCAGAGCTCTCCTGCTGTCAGCCAGTCTCAGGTGAGAAGTGTGAACACATCTGTGTGTGCTGCCAGGCTGAAACCAGCAGTGCTGGGGCTTTCCCCAAACCTAATCCTGTCTGTGAGCTTGTATTTCTCACTGAACTCTCTCTCATTTTTCTTAACTGTGACAAGAAATTAAAAGTCTAACATTCCTTCCCTCCTTAGCTGCAGGAAAGGACAAGTGCCTTTCTCCAGCATCCTTTGCTTTACACTGAGTTAGCTTTGCAGAGTTTGCAGCTCTTTGCTTCACAGTGCTGCTCAGATCCCTTCGAGGCAAAGACCAAAACTCTGTTTCTGCTCTTATTTTTACTGGCTTGACATCAGTGTGGATTATTGCACTGTTGTCAGCACCATTGCTCCTGATTTGCATCAGCCTAGGAGAGATCAGAGCCTGGCCCAGTGTCTTCAAAGCCTCTTGAAGCCTGTGAGTCAGGGAAACACATCAATCAAGAGCCGCTTTGAAGGCACTGAGAGATGAGGGCGATCACCAGGGGCTGGGCTGTGCAGGTCACGCCAGTGCATGAAAGGAGCAGTCCTACAGGCACTAGACTCTGCTTCGAGTTTTCACCAGGGACTCACTGGGGGGTAGAGGCATCTCTAACAAGCAGCTTGGCCCTGCTCATGCCTGGCCGTGGGGCAGTTTCACTGCTCAGTTGGCAGCTGGGGAAAGCAGACACCAGGTGGGAAGCTCCTGTCTTCAGAGGATAGCAGGACCAGCCAGGCTCTTGGCACAGGGAGGGGTGGCAGGCCAACTTTCAGGGGCCAGGAGAGTGGACAGCATGAATCACTACAGCCAGAAGCCACTCCAGGGAGATGGAAACATGGAGGACTGGGGTTTCTGTATGACCTGACCTTCTGGCTTGTCCTGGAAGGGTCAGTTCGGGCTCTGCTGTGTCAGTTTCCCCCTTCCCACTATAGAATCATAGAATTTTAGGAAATGGACCTTAGAGATGATCCGGCCCCAACCCCCTGCCCTGGACAGGGACAACTCCTACCAGAGCAGGTTGCTCAAGGCTCATCCAACCTGGCTGTGAACACTGCCAGGGTTGGGGCAGCCACAGCCTCCCTGGGCAACCTGGGACAGTGTCTCACCACCCTCACAGGGAACATTTCTGCCTAATATCTGACCTACACTTCCCCTCCTTCAATTTGAACATATTGCCACTTGTCCTGTCACTGCAGCTCCTAACGATGCCTGCCATGTAGACAGCTGACCAGTCATCCACAAGCTGACCAGACTAGTTATCCCCAAAGCAGCAAGCTGCTATTAACTCCCCACCCCAAATCAAAATCCCTATGAGTATTTTCAGCATGTGCAAAAAGCACCAGCAGAAAGTTCCTGGTGTTGTCCCAGCTGACTCTGCACA